GGTAAGGAGGTGGGGAGGTGCTAGGGGGGTCGGCATGCTTATACGTGGCCATACGCCCCTGTCCGGTGACAGCCTGTTCGCTCTCGGCCTGGTAGTGGCATCCCCCACCCTCCTCCTCGTCTCTCCACCTTGACTCGCATACGTCTGCTCGTATACCTTGGCGGAGAGATTGCATTCGAGGCAAAATGAAAACAGCAGCACCAGCAGCTGCTGCTGGCTAACACAAATATAGACCCTCTTTACTCACGCGCTTTCGCACCGCCAGTTATTCTCCCACTCGTCTTCCTGTCATGCCATCGCAGTACGCGGCTGCTGCTGGGCTTTCCCCCATCCCTCCCGCGGAAGTCGCCGGAAGTACACACACGTCTCGTCTGGAAACAAACGAGCCCACTGGCATCCGCGCGGAAAGCTATGTTTCGTCACGTGCCTGGCCGGACGCCGCGGACCCATATTGCCCGCCGCCGGACAGGTCTACCGCGCACCGCGTCAAGCATACGACCTGACTTCCGTTAAGTTGTGGTGGATGGTGATGATAATTGTCTAGTCACAAAAGGCATCGTAAAATTCAGCCTGTAGCTAGCCTTTCCCGGGGCACTGGATAACCTTGTTATTCAATTCATGTGACGCGTCACAGTATTGATTAACATAATGTAGGCGGTCGGTCAAATCGTGATGTCACATGCGTGACTCAGCCAGGCTAAGTACAGTCAGTTCCCAAGTCATGTGCAAAAAATAATGCGACAATAGTATCCAAAAGAATGAGACAGTTTTCCCAGGTGTGTGGCGTCATATTGAATAACAGTGGTTGGTGTTGTCGCAAGCTCGCAGGACGGGACGGGCTCCTCTTGGAAGCGCCTGCAATGCGCTGGGTAGGCCAACCCGCCGGGCAGCTGTGCGGCGCTGGCGGCCCACCCTGTGAGAGCGTAGGGGCCCGTGGGCTGGGGAAACGCTGGGCGCCCAACGTTGCGTCGCCTGGGGGATTCGTTCATAGTGGGAGGGGGAGTACCTGAAAGTTCATCGGTCGCTATTAGCATGGAAAGGAAATTTGCGGCACCCCCAAAGCCTAGTTAAAATTACTTATTATTACCGCTCTAAAACCGCACCAAAAATGTCCAATTAATGCGGTTTTATGTATACAAGTCTCCACTAAAGCTCTAAACTTTTGAGATGTAAATGAAAAACGAAAAAAAACATCGCAATATATTTGGCTGGTAAGGAGAATGTAAACGAACCTATGTGCCCCAGCCCGCGCTACCTAGTATTTTGTGATAAAACGCGCTGTGCACTGCTTTTCATTTAATTATGTACCCATTCACCAGCCCATTTGTCAAGCGGGCACACGTGAGACGGAAATGATATAATAAATCCTGAAAGTGAAATACCTCAGCAGCATAGCGGGGGAGAAAAAGTACGGCGGCGGGGGAATATGGGATGTTGTTAGCGATACGCCCGGCGTTGGGATGAAGATATAATCGGGGCCAAAAGGTGGAGCAGGGTGCGAGAGGGAGAGAGGAGAGAGAGAGGGGGGAGGGGCGACCTAGCGCATTTGCTCTGGTCGTTGCACGCTATTCGGAGCTGAGTGTGGCG